CAAATACAAAAGTAAAAAAGGTAGTGAAAAATGCAGGAAATAGTTACTGTGGCAGAATGATGCGGAGGCTTTGCTTCATCCTGAAGTTCTACCTCCTTCACTCTCTGTGGTCTCGTGGTCCAGCATGAAAACTACACAGGTTCACCCTTGAGACTAAGACACAAGAAGCACAGTGGGCGCTGTCTGCTACTCTTCACACGTTACAATGATGTTCTCAACCTGTCATCCACAACTCCTTTGGGGGTCACATTTCCAATATCCTGTATATCAGATATTTGCTTTACAGTTCATAACTGTAGCAGTTATGAAGTAGCAACAAAAGCATTTTTATGTTTGAAGGTCACCATATGAGGAACTGTATTAAAGGGTCACAGTATCAAGAAGGGTGAGAACCATTGCTCTACAATATTACATCCCAGTTCTATTGTTCAGGTTCGATTGTTGTTTTTTGGTATCTCAGACATTTGTCTCCCCCCCCACACACACACATCTTTTGCCAACATCAGGTCAGCACTAACCAGACAAATGACACTCCAGATATTCCCACACCAGGCTGCTGACCTTGCTGTCCTGTGGCACCCTCCATGGTCCTCTGGATCACATCAGTTACCTGATAACAGTACCTGCACTGCCCTCCACTGTTTTATTAAAATGATGTTCTTTAGGACATTGGACACAGTGCTCAGTGTATGCTTTTCTACATGAATTGAGCTCTTGTCTTTTCAGTTTTCTTGCCTCGTCCCCCACAATATCTTATTTTTTTTCTCTCCACTAGTGATTTCTTTTTTTTTAATTGAATTGAGTTTTTAATGAAACATTCTCACATTTGAAATAATTCAAAGCATGCAATCCTTTTGGAAAACTGCGGTGATAAGCTTACTCTCTTATCCTTTGCCACTGTACAATGGAAGATAGCCTGGCCTCTGGGCCACTAGTGTTATACTCAGAAGAAATGTCAGCACGCACCGGGCAGAAGCTGCCATTTTCTCCAACCACCGAAGGCACTGCAAGAAGCACTCACTCATCAATACCCAAAGTCCATCAGTACCCACTCACCACTGTGTCTGTATCTCATACCAGACATTTATTCCATAAATAAGCCGTTTTCTACCCATTATTTCATAATAACCATTCTCCTCATGTTGAATCAAAGCTTATGACACTGTTCTATAAATGCAATTATGACACAACTCATGTTTGTTACTTATTGTTTCCTAGGTTTAAAAAAAAAAGGTAGTGATTTCTAAATACTTGTGGAGATTCCATGTCATAGATGTTTGCCAAAGTTTCCTGATTCAGAATAATGCCAATCTTGAAAGACCATGTGGTATTGCTTCCAAGATGAGTCCCTTTGCTGGTTGTATATTGACTACTGCCCTTCACTTCCCACCAGGAGGAACAGCCTTAGCGACTGCACTGTTGTGCGGTATTTGAAAGCTAAAGGGCTCTGTCACTTGACATTAGTCAGACCCCCATATTCACAATGGAATCTGACTGCTCTTCAGAAGAAATGTTACTGTACCTTTGAGTAGTGCCCATTTTAAATAAATATAGTTTTGTCTCAAGGTCAAGCTTCTAGCTTCATACTCATTTGAATAGTTTATAATCTGGTCTATTCTTTGATATAGAGTTTTCACTTTATTGTTTTAGTTGGTTTGGTTTTAGTAAAGAGCAAATATATTTTCAAAGTTTCTATTAAATATGTACCCAAATATTTGCCAATTTGGGATAATTGGGTTTTTTTTCTTATTCTGTTTTGCTACCTGTCTGGATCTAGACCTTCTAATCAATATACACATATGCCTGTGTCTTGGCTACCCATTAGCTGATGTCATCCTTCAACAATAGAGTTCATATTATACTCAGCCTCTCATTAGTCAGTCTTCTTCCATTAGAACATCTTTTACTTGCCAGCCTCTGCTCCCGTGCACAGATACTTACTGTCTCCATCCAGCTCTTTGCTTTATGCTACAAAACCAGTATGACTTGCAGTGTTGGCTTTGTATTAGTGGGCAGCATATTTATTCTAGTAAATGCATATCTTCTGTTAAGAACATTCTGTTGATTGACCTGTACTTCTGCCCCGCACCTTCCACACAGGGATTCACCGTGTAACCTTGGCTAACCTGGAACTTGATAGAAATCAAAGAGAACTTCCTGCCTCTGCCTCACATGTATGACTCCAATGAAGGCTATGTTTTAGTTAACAAGGCACATATTGTCATTATACAATGGGAATGTCATTAATAGACTTTGGAACCATTTCCCTCACTTGATATCATGCTCGTAGCTCTTCATCTTAACTTCCCAAACCATTTATAATTTTCCAAACCATTTGTAATTTGTAATGACCTAGATTCCCAGTTCTGCTTTCCAGTACCCTCATCCATCTCCAGGGTAGAAAGCTCTATTGAGATATTTTTCCTTGTTCCTTGATCATGCTATCCTTGTTGCATAATATATTGCTTCCCATCTGCACATCAGACCAAAACAGGTTACCTTCACCAAGGAAGCTGACCAAGTCACTCTTCTCACACAAACACCAGGGCCTTTATTATGTTATATTGCCATCATATAGATGCTTGATTGTTATGTGGAAAGCATATAGTGATCATTCTAATTAAATCATGTAATCTCAGACCCCAGTTCTACCACTTCGTAGGTGAAACACATTGGTATCATCACCAAATATTTTCATTTTATTAGTCTATCAAATACTATAATGATAACTGGTTCAAAAGGTTAATAGTATAAGGTATTTGAATTACAGCCTGGAATGTGTGCTGAACTGTCACTAATAAAAATCTTAGTTATCACTGTGAAGTGCTCACACTTTACTCTTAGAGATGGTATCAAATGCATTGACCCAGTTACAGATTTCTTGTCAGATACAGATAGGATGGATTCAGTGCACAGAGACCTGCATGCATACACCCTTTGCCATTGTCAAAATAGTTAACAGTAGTTTACAGCATCACCAGGTAAATTTTACTTACTTGAGCTTATGATTAAATTTCCATAGAATTAATTTTATTGCTTCTTAAATTTGCAAATATGGTGATGTTTATAAGAATAAAATATTATTTTATTTTATGCGTGTATCTCATTATCACAGGCATCACACTGCATGTCTCATTGGTACTCCTTCTAACCCTTAGAAATAATTCACAGCAAGTTATCATTCTAATTAGTTTCCAGGATTTCCATAGCTTATACTCTTATCATCAATGTCAGGTCTGTTTTTACTTCCTGGCTTATCTTTTGAGAATAGGTTCTTCTGACCAGAACTTACTAGACAACACACACTGGTAAAGAGTGAGGTTCTATGAACCTGAGTTCATCTTATACAGACATGAGAAGGGATGTGTTTGCAAGCACCATCTTGCTATCCTGTCAATTTGTTCATATTCCTTTTGGAAAAATACATTAATGATGTAAGCTTTTATATTTTTCTTATGATGCATTGATAATGTTTCTAGGAGTTATAAATGTGACTTATTTAAGAGTTTGTTTAAAATTAGTAATTATTCTATTGTTCTAGGTTTTTACTTAGTATTATGTATTCAAAATTAATACAGAATAAAGATGGACAATTCTTATAGCAGAGTAGTATTGTCTGTGTTAATATGCCCACATCTTAATTATGATCCTATCTATGGCCATTTCCTTAGGGTTTTCTTTGTCAGAATCCAAATGCTTGGTCAGCCAACAAGCGGCAAATGTTTTATTAATCTCTCTGACTCTAGTCCCTGAGCATGAGAATTTCTGACCAGTCACACCACACTTCTCTTAAACAAGTTTTTCATGTCAGTCTCTCATCTCATTAGCTGTCCGCTCAGGATCTGATAATGTGGAGCACCAGTGACTTCTTTACAGCTTGTTTTGTCTGTCTGTATGACATGGATAGCAAAATGGCCACCAAAGGATATTTATTCACCCCCTGCAATAAATGGACATGCTCGTGTCTACAAGGCACTTGAGACTGCTGGCTGAAAACAAGAAAATAAAACTGTTGCTTTGGCTCTACATTTGTTAACACTTTAATGGAAGAACAAAGCATCTTTTTCTGTAAGATTATTTACTGGGTCAACAGGTGGGCTCAGGAGGTAAGGACCTTTGCCCCACAGGCCTGTAGACCTGAGTTCCAACCTCAGAATCCATGCAGCTGTCCTTTTGACTCCCATACATGTTATGTCCATGCCCCCCCACATCACTTACATATTAATAATAAAATTTATTTAAAAGATCTGTTTTTGATTGCACTTGTAATTAAGAAAAATTTTTCAAAATTTATTCATCAAACTTTTTCTTTAAAAAAAATAAGCCCATGACTTGGACATTTATTTTAAAGTAGCAGCCATTGTACCAAATATGCTCATCAGAGATTATTATTTTAATATAATTAATATGCTCATACAGAGATTATAGTTAAGTCAAATTTATATATCTGTATTATTGTACTTTTAGAAATTAGCAATTATGATCTACTTTCTTATTATATATAACGTTTTACAAATCATTTTTTATTTAGGAGAGTTGAGTAACCCAGCTGTTTACAAAATGTTTTTACGTGTAAACTAGGAATGGCATTAGAGTATAATGTGACTTGCATGATTTGGTCATGTAAGTAAGGTACTTAACACAGGCGCCATCAGACACTGAGTCAGTGATCCTTGGGATCACATACGCACTGCGTTCATTTTTTCATTCTTTGTGGTACTTGTTCTATGAATTTGGATCATTTAATAAGTTTTGGTGAATGAATTATGTGTAGCTTGTTTAATTTTGGTCTTCAAAGTAGAAAATGCCAGCAGCTCTTCCATATTTGTTCTCTGCTCCAGGAAACATCCGACAATGCCTTTGGATGAAGCAGCTCTAACCAGCTCTTACCTTAACCTAAACATTTTAAAATAGCATGACCTAATAAGAACTGAAACATGAAATCAGGTAATTCTGTGCCTGTCATGTGGTTTGACCTTTGCTGACCTCTCCCTATGCAGGCCTTGTGTGTATGAAGTCCAGCACGTCTGTGGTGGAGCTGGTCATGCTGCTTTGCTCTCAGGTAAGAGTTTCATTCACTTGGTAAAATTACCCTGCATGAGAATTTCTTATGCATGTATAGCATTAATCATATTTTAAATTTTATCTCTCGCTGCAGAGAATGCAGCAGATAGCTTGCCTTGAGGTGCTTTAGAGCCTAGTGATCATCCTATGTAAAAACTGCTCTATTCTCACCTCTCTCTCTGCTCTCTCCTCTCTTACCTCCCGCTGTTCTGTTCTGTCTGTGCCTGGCTTTGTTCTATGATCTTAATGTCTTTTGCTATTATATGCACTATGTTTTAAAATTACTGCAGCCCACATTGCAATTTGAAAAAATAACTGGTAGTTACTATTGTTTTCTTCTCTGTCAGATTAGAAGTGGTAGAAACTCAAGAAACTCAAGTTCCTTTTTTATCAGTACTAAACTCATACAATGTATTGTTGAGTCATCTTTGGCAGGCTGCTTTTTCAATTTTGTGTAGAATTGTTATGATTAATAAATCTGAAAGTTTACTGAGTGGCGATTGTGTTTATTAACAAGAATTAAAGGTAAATGGTTGGATATTGTTTTTTTTTTAAACTATACAAAAACAAACAAGAGAGCTTGATCTATATAAATCTTGAGAGAAACCATATATTAATCTTTTGGATAACAAAAATAGAAATTTATTGGCCTTTCCTTTCCCTGTCACGTAAATTCTCCCTGTTACCATATGAATATGAAATATTCTGTTATATTAGAATGAAAAGGAAGTAGATACATGTTTGTAATACATAGCTGTTATATTTATCCCTGGTCTTCTCAGTAGAAGGGCGAACACACCTCACCATAACCGACCTGAGGTCTGCTAACACCACTACCAAGCCAGAAAAGCCGAGTGTGATTTCAGTGGTTTTTAAATGTCCCAAAGAAACAGCAAACACTTACCTACTGACTTACCTGTGGTCTCTCCAGTGGAAGGGTGAACACATCTGACTGTAACTGGCCAGAGGTCTGCCTAAGGCCTCAGACAAGCCAGATGAGCCAAGTGTGACTTCAGTGGTCTTTATATATCCCAGAGTAAACAGCAAAAGCTTACCTACAGTTTCCAGGTTCACATTTACTTTCTTCAGGAGTGTGTTCATGGGAAGCCAGGAATACAGTTGAGAGGAAACCATAGAGCCAACCCTGGGAGGAGCTCGTCGGCAGAGCGTGTGAAAAGTGTACTCTATGTCGAGGTCCTGAGTTCAGGGAAAATGGAAGCTCCGTGGACATTTTAGGTTGATAAGAATCCAAATATTTAGCAGCTTTTGTGGCAAGGCATAGTTTAGAATGCCTTCTTTCTTAGCTCTGGCTATCAGTGCAGTTCAGAGAAATAAAGAGGAATGTTGCATTAGGATCTGGTGTCTTTAATGGCCTCATCATCTAATCATAGGTCTCACATCACCATTTGCTGGCTCCAGGAATTCCTGCCATTAGGGGCCCTAGAGATGAAACTTTGCCTCACATATTGATTGGAAGGAAGAGTGGGAAATGTAAGCTCTCTCTGTGGTGCACTTTCCTCCGTGTGTCAGCAGGACAGCATGATAAACAGGCCTCTTAGATTGATTTTCAAATTGAATTTTTAAAATACTTCAGTGTTTGAGCACTGAAAAATTTAAATGTTTCAAATGATCCATTGGTTAAATATCCCTCACCTAAGTAACTTGAAAGGTCCACACATTAAAAATAACTCGCATTGTTTTGTTGTTTTGTGTTAATCTGTAATGTTACTTTCTACAAAGCATTTTTAAGAAAGCAAATGAGTGATGCTCATTTCGTCAAATGCAGTTGTGTAAATTAACGATTTTAGTGTGAAATTAAGTTTATCCATCATTACAGATCATTAGTTGGTCCACAGATGTTTTCAAAATTTGGTTTTGAGGGTACTGAAGAAGGTAGACACATTTCAAAGGGTTCTTAAAATAATACATTTTTTCCATTACTAAAATTCATCATTTTTACCAATTAGCAGATGACTGCAACAGTGGCAGACCTTGGATGGAGAAAGTTAGTTAGCAGTGCTGCAGAGATAGCTTGTTCCTGCTCTCTGCTAAGTGTGATCTTTCTGCAGATCTTAATGCATTTCTTCCATTGGAGCTGATCCCTGTAGAATTAGCACCAGTCTGTGGGCTGTCTTCCGTCAAGGCAGGCAGTCATGATGAGTCTTTAAGACCTCAGAGCTCAGAGCTCCTTTTGCCTTGTTTGACTGTCAGTCACCACAGGATGCACATCAGCGTGAGCGAGACGAACAGAAGTAGTTCAAAGTGTGCGTCCTTACTGTCTGGATACATTATATGCCCCCCTGCCAGGGAGAGATACCTTAAAATATGAGCCATGCTGTCATTTAATTCTTGACAAAATAAGTTTTAAATGCAAATAACATTTTGTAGTTTGTTTGCATAAAATTTATCCTCAAATCTACTGAAGTCATTGGAAACTCATTGTGTTAGAGAGAATAAGCAATGGGCGCTGAAAAGCAAAGAAAGTGAGCTTCTCTTTGGCAGCCCTAAATTTCTATTCGCTACAGCGCATTGGATGTTTTTACTGCTTTTACTTTTCATTTCCATGTTGGAAATTTTTCTTAAATACTACATACTATTAAGGATATTTGATTTCCTTTCTTTCTTTTTTGAGTGCCTAAAAAAATTACTCTTGCCAATAGTTTGTGTCCAAAATGTGGTCTAAATTCACATGAGATCACATTACAAATGTCTGAAGGTACTTGTCAAGGATAATTCGGTTCATATGGTACCCTCTAAACTCCAAGGGGCATGACATTCAGTTTACCCCCAGTGGAATTTTGCATTTCTTCAAAAACATGGTTTAAGTTTCAAGAAGATATTACCATTCTCCATTGTAATTTGGTTATTGGTCCAAAAGCACAGAACAATTTTTACAATATTTAGATACTTTTTCCCATGTACATCTTAAATTTTAAGAATCAATTATTTACTCTTCACTTATGGTTTGTGTTAAAAAATAGTTACTATCATCTTCTTAACAGAATGTTTTCTTTCATTTCGAAATATAAGGATCCGCATAAGGTGGTTGGTTAGTCTGTGTTCTACTTGGTAAAAGAGCCCAGCGTCAGTGTCCTGCACAGGCTCTTCAGTTGTTGTAGGTAGTGTGGCATCAGACTGTTTATTTCTGCAGCGCTGTGGCTGAGGTGCCCCCACCCCTCTCACAGCACTTACTTCCTCCTTCAGTTCTCCTTGGTTACTGCATTCTTAGAGGAATAGCAGGCTGAGTTTCTCAAGGAAACCTTTTTAGGTACTAGAATAGTTTCTAATTATTTCCAGATTTTCTTTTTCAGGAAGTCTCCATGAGAAGAACTCTAAGAAAAATTGAGTGTTGTTACCCACAGGATTTCTTTACGTTTCCATCAGTAAAGCTTAGCAGATGCCACTTGCATTTCTCTTTGCCTTATGTGTCAAGATGTAAATTGAGGGACCTCATGTAAAAAAAAAAAATCATACTCTCAGTATTTAAATGCTTTCTGACTTAAAGCACTGATTAAGCAAATGCCTGCTTAATAAATCATTCCTGTTCTCATTAAAAACTTTAAAATACATAAGTTAAGGTAAAAACTCAATGTATGGCATGCCCAGCATGAATTATTTTGTGGTTTATATGACTTTGTTCTTGTCTAAATACTTCATATACACTTAACTGAAAGGATTTGGTGCCTTCAATGGTGTGGTCAGGGTGTGACCCAGGACTTTACAGACAGCGTTCACAAAGAAGCCACAACTGAGGAAACCCTTCTCCTTTCAAGTGATTTGGCCTTTGAACATTTAATGTTTTAAAACCTTTTCTCCAATTTGGTACAGTTTAGTCAGATGGTACAAAAGAAAATGATTTTTTTTTCTGGATGTAATAAAGCCAAGATGAGGTTCTAAGGCAAGGCTGAGGCTAATGCAGAGGCCTGATAAATGCCTTCATCCGTATGTACTCAGTACTGTAAGGACTTGAGGCTGTGTAATAAGATGATAAATTTGAGAAAACCAGAGATGGCGCCTTTTTTTTTCTCCAGTCCTTTGGAAATATTATTAAATCCTGATTTTCATGGTGAAATTCTGTCACATGTGAATTAGTGCTTACGCACTCTGTGACCAGCTTTTGTTAGTATTTTGGTGGTTACTAAAACCTTAGTGACACACTTCCATTCCACAAGGAGGCTAGGCTTATCTATTGCAAATTACATATATGAATTTGTAGGCAATGAAGCAGAACTTAAAAAACAAAACAAAATAAAAAACAACAACAAGAGCACATGGCTGAGATTTTTAATTGATATAATCAAGCAGTCTGCATGGGTGACTCTGAAGACTGAATGTTCATGGAAGGCACTATGGAAATGGACCCTGAAGCTGGGAGGCTTTCCCTGCTATGTTATCAGGGAAGGAGACACAGCTCTTGAAGACAGTTCAAGCAGATCTCTTTGTCTGTCCTCAGGCCTGGCACCCACCTTGTTTGTTACACATTAAAAACTAAATAATTAGGATTAGCAAGATGATTCCACAAGTAAAAGTGCTTGACCCACAAGCTGGACGACCAGAGTTAGATCTTCATAACCTATGATGAAACCAAATCCCTAAAACTGTCACCTCACATCTGAATGAAAACAAGAAATAAAACAGGAAGATATGACTGCTCCTAGGTATGGTGGAAGAGAACATTTATTGTAGATAAAAGGATGAGCACAGTAAATTTGAGGGAGAACATAGGCAGATGCATCTGGATGGGTCCAGAGTGAATTTACCTGCAAAGTGAGTCTGACCATGTAAGGAGAGGGAGAGAGGGCAACCAGGAGCAGTAGCCAAGAGGATAAGAGGCCCAAAAGGCCAAAAAAGGACCAACATCGTCAAAATGGCTGGATTTTTTTTTTTTTTTTTTGGTTTTTCGAGACAGGGTTTCTCTGTGGCTTTGGAGCCTGTCCTGGAACTAGCTCTGTAGACCAGGCTGGTCTTGAACTCACAGAGATCCACCTGCCTCTGCCT